ATTATATCGCCGCCATTTATAGCCATGCGACTTCTGAATTGAATTTGAGTGCCTTACACGCTGTTAATTGGAAAACAATATATGAAAATGTATGAGATCTGATGTCTAAGCACTGTTTATTTAAATGCTACGGCACTTTTAAGGGGATAATGAATTCCATCCACTTTATTTTTGATAACACACTTCCGCTTATATTTTACAAATTCGATTTAGTCGACATCGAATAGTATCAAAACAATAATTTATTATACTTTCTAAATGATAATCATGCACGTAAGTTATTAACACTGTAGGATTGTCACATGAAATCATGAATGCCATTAGATTATAAATCACTTAGTTATCAACTCACATGACACCTTGGATTTATTAGGTTTTTTAAACATTATGCTTTATTTAGTCATTACTTATATTTTACATAACTACGAATTAAACTTTGCTAAAATGTCTTTAAAAACTTAAATATTTAAATTATAGCTTGTATTATAAAAGTCCATAAAGTTTTGCTAATATTGGGTATCCTATCCTACCTATAATTATTATATAGGTACTATTATATTTCAGTCGATTTTATAAAAAAAATTAATACATATTTATATAATAATTTATTTGAATTTGTATTTTTAGGAGGTAATTACTAAAGTTAGACTTTAAAGTTTAAAGTGTGGATCTATGTAGGTACCTATACTTTCTATGTATATATAACTTATTATTTTTGACCCAGGAGACTAAAGTATTTTATACACCTATGTAATGTACCTACATTTATACCTATTAGATTTTTTATTAATTTATTATGGTTTTCCCACTTCAGTCTAACCCTTTTATATAAGTAGGTACCTGGGCAATCGAGCTTTACTCGGCGTTTTTTAAAGGATATAACAATTGTGTTATTTTTCAGAAAAGGTATATTTAGGTATGTAGATAAACTAAAAAAGTAAAACCTTATCTATATGTATACAGATATTCAGAAATAAGGTTTTACTTCTTATAACCTTAGGTATATATTCTTATATTACCTTATATACCTTATATTCTTATAACCGCTCGGGTTCGTTCCTCCTTACGTTTTAACGATTCGTATAGATTTCTTAGAAATGAGATATTCTCACGCAGTAAAAAGTATCCTATATGTTGACCAGATAATCATCTAAGAGTAGGTATCATCATACCAAATTTCATCCAAATCCCTCCCTCCAGTGGTTTTTCCGTGACGCGGTCACAGACAGACAAAAATTCTAAAAGCTATAGATTCGGCCTCTGTATCGATAATAATATCTATTTCTATAGGATTTTCTAAAAAATATTTAATGTACAGATTCGATTTAGTTACAATTTTATTATATGTGTAGATAATTAGATCCAAATCCTTAGGTACACGGCATAAATTTTAACATAATATACCTACAAGAATTACTCATTTAATATTATAAGATAACACTGTTTTGGAAAGACTATCCTTATATTAAAAAAATATAAGCGCAGTAGGTACATGAAGTCGCTTCAGACTTCTAAGTTGCCTTAACTCGATTCCCGGTTGGGACGTTGATCTCAGCGTCTGCTTCCAATTGTATTTTTACTCGCCCTTTCATACACTTAATATAAACTACATTATTTGTGAGCACATGCGGCTCGTTGATACTTTAATTGTTATGCGGTTATGACAAGTAAATTGAACTGATATAATATGATTAGTCCACTAACACATTTATGTTGTTAGCTCATTAAATAACTTCATAAAGCTGACGCTATATATTACACTTTTTGTAGTAGTTTAATGACTTTAGGTCTAACTGGTGTTTATTTTTAATTTTTTGACTAATAATCTCGTGGATTGAGTTTTGTTGTTATATATTTAATAATGTAATTGTGTTAACACTCTTTGGCAATAATGAGACATAAGGCTGAAAGACGTTTCCTAAGCTTACATATTATTTATTTATTTTATTTATGTAGTAAGGATTGCTGTGGTTATTACATGTTATATAAAAAAATTTAATCAATCAAATAGAGCACAATTATGTATAACCATTAAAAGTAAACACAACTTGCACAATCTAATATATATTATTCTATTTTATTATTTGAATTATACTACTTACTTATTATACCACTATATCGCTTTGTGTATAACATGTGTCATACTTACGTTCATACTGTTTTTAAGCATCATATTATCTTAATACAAAGAAAGATACAACATCTTTCTTGATGAACGCTTTTAAGGAAACTTGGCACCAGTAAAGTAGAGACCAAAAATGGACTCGTCACAGTAGTAAACGGTATATATTAATTTATACATTAAAAAGTTTACCGAACGCTTACCGGAATTAAATAACATACATTTTTTTTTCAAAAATAAATGATTTTTTGTTCATAGATTCCAAAATAGAGGGAGGAAAATGATTTACTTAAGAACTTCTTAGAAATGTCTATTGTCGGATAACGAGAAAACAGCTTACAGCAACAGTGTAACGAGGTTGTGCAATGGAAACAAATAAATAGTGTTTCTCAGTTTACAGGTGACAATCTGATCGGCAAAAGAAATAGTCCAGTTTTACATATGGCCGCGGTAAAAGTACGATACTCCGAGGACCTGCCGCATAAATTGGCTCGTTCGTGATACAGTGCCTCGTTGAATATGTATAGGTATTCCCTTCCGTGCTTCTCATTTTACTAATAGATTTCTCTTTGATTAAATTTGTATACGTTTTATTCATACGGCTGAAGCAACTATTGTTGGTTGGTGGCCGTTTAAATCACCGGTTACGGCCATCCCTACGTTTTGTTTCGTTGCTTTGCGTGTTTAAATATTTGTTTTCTTTTCGATAATTCCATTTCTTATGCTAATAATGATGATGAAATAAATAAGTTTCCATATTACTATTAAATTTCCTCCTAAGAACAATGTAATGTTTTAATATTATCTTAGTTATTAATGCATAAAAAGATATTATATCTTATTATCAACACGCACAAATGTATCATATCTAACCCTTTGATATTTAGCACCGACTCTCAGCCGTACATCGAATGTAAGATATTTATAATGTCTTTATTAAGACAAGCCATCGGATGAGCTCACGCCCGCTTATTATTATAATTTAGACGATTGCCTAAAGCTCTAATGGAATGAAGTCATCTTTTTGAGAATAACCAGTTTAAGCGCGTGTATAGTAAAGTAAAAAAAAATTAAGAAAACGTCTACTTCCTTCAATATATACTACGTATTGGTAGGTATATTTATTAACTAAAGTTATTTTTGATAATACACATGTACATTTTAGATTATTATTTAAAGATTCATTATAATTTTATCAATATCATTTTAAAATAACTAAGTAGGTACTTTAGCCACAAGGTATCACAAATCGTAGCAGCATTAGATATGCAAGAATGTAAGCGCAGATTTCGTGACGACGGGTCATGGAAGTTGCGAGTTCATTTATGTGTTCTTATTTTTTACAGGTCAGCACGTAATCATATGTGGTAAAACTAAAGGGTGAAAATATAAATAGACTTTAATCATAGAATCTAAAATTTAATATTGTATTATCTAGAGTTTTTAACAGATTTTCCTGGACTGCGGAGACGAGTAAATGATCCTTAAATTTTATATTATAATTGTAGGTATATCTAATTAAAATTGTAAGCCTTTCTACCACAACGCAATTATTCATTCAAACTTAATTAACAATCGGTACGTTGTGTATCGCTGCGCGTTACCTGACTTCCGTAAAGAGCTTTTAATCTTACAAATGGATATATTTATGAGCGCCTTACATCATTAGAGACATTAAAAGTTTTCAAGTTAGAACGGCACAGCTATCCACACAGTTACATTGTTCATTCAGAGCGCGTACACACTTCAGAACTTGAATTTTGTAGGCAGCCCTGAAAAAGTGCCAATTCATCATAGTAAAGCCCTCAGACCAAGAACGGAGTCCGCCGAATAAATTTCACTTCCATACTTTCGCGTAGGGAACGACTGCTTTATGAGATCCTTAAGGCTGTATGGATTTGGGAAAATATTTCCTTCGCGTACTATCCCCCGACAAATGAAGGAGCATTGAGCACATTAGAATGTGTGAAAGGGCCCATAGGCGTTTTTATTGTTATACCGACCAATTCGTTTAAAAGCAAGTGCTAGTACGGTTTGTAGCTTTCATACGAATTACCTACTCTCTAATATTTATTGCACCTCTTTGGTTTTTGGGAAAGAAAAATTTTGATGTTTCCAAAGCTAAAGCAACGAGCATTTTTATTATGTTCCCTTGGAAGTGGTAGCCATAAATCACGCTTGAATTTTTCTCGCCTAAAGTAACGGACAGTAGTAATATTAGAATTATTATATGTAATATATTAATTACGGGCATAATTAGATAATTGACGTATAACATTACTCCATAACATTCTTAATCATCGGCGTACTTCATTTATCATTCCATGCCAGATCTTAGATATCAAAATACAATCCACTTTATCTTTCACATTGTTGCGTAATTGTAATTGAAATGGAGTTAGGTATTCATTAAAATTCATACCTAAGCACATAAACTGCAGTACGTAAGGGCAGCCGCCTGGGCGCGCCTCGTTACCGTGCCTCCCCTCTACTGTCTCGTGCGTCCGCGCACTCGTTTGTTCTAGCCTCCGAGATATTTCCATTGCTAGCTATGTAGCAGAACCTAGATAACTATGAAATAATCTTATTGTATGTTAATGAGTTTACATAAAGAATTTCTTGAATAGAGAAGTAAAGTAGCAGCTAATAAGCTGGATAAGTAAAATTCTTAAATATAAAAAATATGTTATTTAAGAATAGGCAAAAATTAATTTAAAATAACAAGATAAATTAAATATTTATTTAAATATTCTGTTTTGATATACATATCTCTCGAATGAGAAAGCGCTACAGACACAATCGTTTCCATACAAGGCACTGCACCAGTTACAGATAAATTGGAGGGCTCGTGGGCGATGTGATTTGAATTGAATTAATTATGAGCCGTGGAGCATTCGCTCACGAGCTCCTGCAGGAAATGCAAACAAGCGAAGAAAAATTGCGAGAATATAGGATATTTCGCCGCTATTCTAGAGAATACGCGCCTTATCTCGGCACGGAGTTCAATAAACTAAGGGCGGCAGCCGCGGGACTGAATCGCGGACGGCGAATTTATGCGACACAATACGCATACAGGTGTCGTCGCGCTCAGCACCCCTTCAATAAGCCGCCGATGGGAACTAAATAGGATAGGGGCCTTGTAGCTTAAATACTTGTAACAAAAAATATTCAACCGTTAGAAAACATTTTCGCTCAGTTTTGTTATTTGTCGAGTATGCCTATTTAATATATTTTTGTGATTTCGCACTTCATGGAAAGAAATCACACTACGCCTATACAAGAAATGTTCAATTACTTCCTATTTTACAAAGCGATGAAAACCCAATTACTTCTGAAAAATTCATCGTTAACAAGTCAGAACAAGCGAACAAAACAAAGCCGCTTATAAATCAGAACTGAATATTTGCAGAGCGTTCGGAATATGAATTATTCTCTGTGATTGTTCTTGCGGGCACGTCATGGTTAAAACATAAAGCGCGAACTAGTTTTTTCGTTACTTTCCTGCGATTGAAACTAAAATCGGTTTTACAAAAAAACATAATTTCTACTTTCAAAAATAGTATTTTATTGTATAATCGTAAATGTTTTCATTTGTAAATTTATTTATCATCAAAATTATTGTTCTTTAATTAACACTTTACTTTTAAAGAAGTTGATCAACATTGTAGCCGTCGAAAAAAGGTCCATAGCGCTCAACGTTTTCTCCGGAAGATAACCAGAATTTGTTTTGGTGAATTTTTTGAAACTCTTTTTTATCAATCGGTAGACTGGCCAGTAATTGGCAGAGCGGGCGAGGCAGGCATAATTGACGGTGCTATCATTCTGAACTACTCCGTTCGGACATTCGGGGAAACTCTTAATTGGTCCACCTTTGTTGACGATTAATATAACCGCCTTCGATAATAACGCTTCAATTAATAGCAAATCATTGCTTTTAATTTGCTACTGAGCTTTAACTTATTACTCTCAATCTTTGACTGAGCCAGTGTAGTAATAAAAAAGTACCTTGATCGATGGTTTCCTTTTAGTAATATCATAATGGCGAGTTTTGCTTCACTTGATTTATTATTATCATTTGCCATCGTAAAATGTTAAATTTTCAAGAAAAATTGCTATTGTAAAGTAATAAAGAAAGGATCAATAACATAAAACAATAATCCTTGATTAAGCTCTTCGTAATGTTTTAATAAAATTTTCAAAGCGTCAGTTTTTACACACTTGAATCGCGACATAGATTACAATATTTTAAGTTTTTCTCTTTAAAGGATCGTGCACCAATTTCCACTAATAAGGTATTGTCAAGAAGTCATCCTAAGTCTCTAGAAGAAGTAGATTTCTTATTGGTTCATAATTAAAGCGACTTGAAGGTGACCGTCTATCCTAAAGACAAATAAAAACCACGCATTCGTTGAATACTAACGAAAGCAGCTTCACTGAATTACTTCACTGAAAAAGTTTGCGAGCGATACTTATCAAGTGTTTGAAATGACACAACCGGATTCCATCCCTTTCGACATATACTTTTTACGAACGGGAAATAAAACTGACGAATTTCTCAATAAAAGGGAGATGACCGGCGAGTTGTCACGTACTGGGGGCAGAGTGGGTATTTGGAGCGGTGCAGCAAAAACTATTCAGGGGCCATTATTATGGCATTTTTGTCGTCTGACAGGGCTGCGTGGTCGCGGCCATTACGCTGCGGCGGAGGGGAGGGCCGTGGCGGGAAAGTATTCGCGGCACCCCTCTCCCTGCGCCCCCCTTGCCCGCCATCCATCTTCGATATGCACATAAAGCGAACCGGACTCGTAACGGCAGACCCACATTCCCACTACTCTTAAATTTATTTATCTCTTTATTAATTCTCGACTTGAATTTTAATGTTTGTGAAATTCGTCTTTGAATAATTCGTAAGACCGACAAGTTTATAGTATGTTTATTTACATATCATAGATAAGCAGTTCATTAGATTGCAGCGATCTACATCATAAATATACAAATAATGTTTTAGAAAATTGATATAAATATTGATAGATATTGACGTGTGCATTAACATTTATCCACAAACAGCAAGGTGTTAATTTAAATCTACAGTAACACAGCTGCCACGGTACAAATAAGGGAAATTCAGTTCTATAATACATTATTTATTACTTCTTTCATAAAAAAAACCTGATGAGTCTTATACGGACAGAGATGTAGCGCTATCTTAAAATAGGCATATACATATATAATATACGTACCTACCTTTTACATTGTTTAGTTTTAAGTATCATTTGAGTAATATTTAATTGAATATATTACAATATATAATTAATATTTCATTGAAAACATAAATAAAAATAATTACATATTAACGAATAGGTACATTATATTTTATTTTATTTTTATAATGATGTTGTAGTGAGATCGTAGATTCTGTAGTAGTTTTAGTTGCGTAGTGGTCTCTCTGTAGGTACTTGTTGTTAATTTTTACGCTTTAATTTGAATATTGAATAAACATTGTTCAGAAAATATATTTTAAAACTCAAGTGTTTTTATTATATTTTATTTATGATATAAATAAATGCTTTAAATAAATTTTGCAACAGAAGATTGACTGTGACAGAGCTATAGAAAATATAATTAAAGTCAGCTGTTTACAATGAAATCGATAGGGTTGCCTCATAAAACATGGAGCCTGGCGTGGATTAACGAAGTACACTCTCTATATCGGTGGACACTTGCCTTCAAGGGACGTTTTAATTAATGTAGGGTTGTCACACGCTTTGCATTTAAATAATTTATATATTTTGAAATTTCATATTAACTCCAGTTAGGAATATAAAATATAGATAATAATAATTTTTAGAGAAATATGAGCATCTAAAACCTTTTTTAATACTTTTATATATTTTATATATTATTTTAATTTTTTATATAAATAAACATTTCTTCATGAAGAACAAAACTCTACCATGTAGAAATTGTTCAGCGAACGGCCGCAGGGAACTAGAATAGATGAATCGCTTCTGTCTCTACGACATTTGTAACTAATGTGCAATATGCTATTAAGTAACTGTCTTCTCCCTTACAATATCTATAATAATTAATGTTACCAAATGGTAACTACGCAGAATATTAACAAGAAAATAATAACTTTATATATAAAATTCTGAGTCGAATAAATTAAATATTTTTTGGGAAAACTTATTAAAAAAGTCATTATTATCGATACAGAGGCCGAATCTATAATTTTTGGAATTTTTGTCTATCTGTCTGGGAACGCATCACGAGAAAACCACTAGACAGATATTGATAAAATTTGGTATGATGATAGATGGTTCTCTGGGTCAACAAATGGGATACTTTTTACTGCGGGAAAACATCTCATCTCTGAGAAATCTATATTAAACGTTAAAACGTAACGTTATAATATATATAATATTTAAAGCATGAAAATTTTAGCTTTATTATATGCAGGTTACATCTACAAGTGTATCTACTTGTTATTACATATTTTTCTTATAAAAATTGTGTCTCAAGTGTCGAATTAGTTAAATTATTAAATTATTTCGTACGTATTTTTAAAATTAAATAATTATCATTACATAAGAGAAAGCTAATATAAGGAACACTCTTTATATTAAAATATGTAGGTACTACCTTTCATTCAATCAGCTTTAATTAGACAAGTGAGATTATAGGTCTAATAAATTTAGATACTTGCTATTAGAAATGCAGTTAGTCGTCAAAATGGAGAAATATTTACTTCATGCATGCGCGATCCGAACTTCGAACTGTAACCCTTTGAGTCAGCTATAAGTCTGAACGACAATTAATGTCAACTCTATGTAAAATATTTGACAAGCGCTCAATTCAAAAGACTCTACTTTACCGATTTTCAAGAAGTTTAACTACATATATAATTATAGATCGATAACTATTACCTACCGTACCTATACATTTTGAAAGTAATTTTTATGAAGAATTATCTTTTAGTAATTGGAAAATATTAATTGGTTTTAAGTTTTTAATTTAGTTTGCGATTGCCTCTTGACACAATCTCGAATATCTAACACCTATCGAACTATTGCTATCTAGTTAGTGTAATATGCGATTGCTCCTTTGTGTTAATTGATCCCACCGTGTTGGTTACGATAATTGTCAATAAATTGTTACGCACATTAATCTGTACATCAAATTACCTCTTCGTAACAGCTAGAAACCAATAGTCTACGGTATTATACATCCTATTGACGCAAATTAATCGCTTCCAAGGAGTGTTTACATATAAAAAATATCTAGCTTGGCTGCTTTAGTTACGTGTTTTCTTCAAGTATCAAATCAAGGTATATTCAACTCGATACCTATTCTTGAAACAGTAATCTTGCAAACACACATCCAAACACGTCTAAGAACGTCAGGCACGCACTAATTAACTTTCAACGTGAAACTTTGTCGTATAGTGTCACCAGAGTAACTTGATCTCGTAGAGCCCATACATCTTTCCCATTTTATCCTATTCGTTAAATGTTGGAAAGGATGGGAGGGTCTCATTAAGCTGGGTGCCTCGTAATTGCGTGTCTAACGTACCCTACACGTAACGTGGCCTTTTATTAGGTGGAAATTCTGTTTATGTTACTGTATTCAAGCTTCGTGTAAGAGTTATGAAGTGTAGTGTTGATGTATATTTATAGTTATGTATTAATAATATGTATAGATATAATATTATTTTATTTTGTATAGAATGTAAAATGTTTTCCAATATTTTTACCTAAATATTTTTTTGAAGAAAACTTACATTATCTTTCCTATATGTATACCTATAAGAATTGGTTTTAGGTAGGTATGTACGTATTCAGCCCTTTTTTTAACTTTCCACTACTGAGCACGGGCCTCCCCTTTAATATGAGGGGGATCAGCCCATAGTCCACCACGCTGGCCAAGTACGGGTTAGTGGACTACACATGTCTTTTGAAAACTTGCTAGGTTCTCTCAGACATGCAGGTTTCCTCACGATGCTTTCTTTCACCGTAAAGCAAGTTGTAACCATATAAGAAATGATTCGCACATGAAAATATCAGAGATGCGAGACGCGGGATTTGAACCCGCTTCACTCGATCTGCCAAGCGAGCGCGATACTTC